CCCTGACAATGTCAGTGGGTACTGACATCAATATTATTTCCAAAATAGTACACAGTTTCACATGTAAAATGTTACATATTTATTTATTACTGGTATTTATATTCCGCAGCACTGGCATAGTGTCATAAAGAATTGAGACATCAAAGACTATTTTGGCTAATTATAAATATTAATACGTTCTTCCTATTTAGCTCATTGTCTGTCATCTGTGACTTGGGTCTCCTGTGTTGTCTTAAGTCTGTTATTATAGTGACCCTATGAACCATATAATATCTGGGTGTTTAGGTATTTGTCCAGCTAGGATTTGCTAGCCAAGTAGATCGTGTTTCAATCCGTACATTTCTAGGACTGTAAACACTAATATAAATTAAATAAATAATAATAATAAAAAAACCATTTGAACCTCAAGCCTCACAATTTACGCTTGTTTGGGTTGCAGCAGGACAGCTAGCAAGCATCTGATGAAGTGGGGTAAATCAGTGAGGCCCACAGATTGAGGAATTTAAGTTATACTGTCTACTCTGGTCCTTCAATGTGTCCTCTCTATTCTTAGTGGGGAGTTGTTGGCATTGTTGTTCAGCCACTTTTTGTTCCACTGCTGTTAGTCTGGTGTAATGGGTGCTCATGGTGGCCTCAAGCAGTGTAATCTTAATGGTGCAGGTCTGCCAACATACTTTTGAGCAGCTCTGCTGTAACCGGGTCCCTGGTCTTTGAGCAGGGCCACCATCAGGGCATGAAAACCATGACAGTTGTCATGGGCCAGCCGGTTCTGGGGGCCTGCACTGCTCTGGGAGTCCCGGGCCCCATATTCCCTAAGTGCACATATATAGTGATTATCGCTATATATTTGTGCACTGCGGTTCCTTGGCAACCTGTATACATCAGAGGGGGCCCAGCACATTTGGTCTTCACTGCCCAGCAACTCTTCTGTCTTGAACTCTCGCGAGCCGCTGCTGTCAAAGTTTTTCCACGGGTTAACATGGCAAAGCTCTGCGCGGCACGCAAGCCGTCTCACGAGAGTCAGAGGAGCTGCTGGAAGTTAAGACGGTGTCTGCTGTGCCCCCTCTGCCGTGTCCTGCTACTGGCTCCCTGCACCATGCCACCAGACCACCAGGGAATGCATCTCTCACAGGTAAGAATCAGGGAGGTGGGAATAAAATTAAAATGTTCAAATAAATGTTAATAAATAACAAAAGCACAAACATTTACTTTACTCCCATGTAGCCCTATTACACACACCACATACACTCTGTATGCATTTCACAAACTACATACCTATACAAACTCACACTCTGCATTCACTACACACACTACATTCATTACACACACACTACATTCTCTACACACACTACATTCACTACACACACACTTCATTCACTACACACACACTACATTCTCTACACACACTCTGTATGTATGCACTACGCTCACACATACTACTTTTATTACACACACACTACATTCACTGTACACACTCTGCATTTACTACACACACTCTGCATTCACTACACACACACTGCAGTCACTCTATACACTCTGCAGTCACTATACACACTACCTTCACTATACACACACTACTTTCACTATACACACTTTACATTCACAACAGTCACTATACACACTCTGCAGTCACTATATACACACTACATTCACTATACACACTCTTCAGTTACTACACACACACTACATCCTTACACAAACACACACTCTGCAGTCACTATACGCACACAACATGCCTACACAAACACACTCTGCATGCACTACACACACTATGCATTCACTATGCGCACACTAAATTCACTACACAAACACACACTCTGCTGTCACTATAACCCAATGCAGTCACTATACACACTCAGAATTCACTACACACACTTCCATGGGCATCCGCAGTGGGGAGCAAGTGCCCCCCCCCCCGCACCCCCTAGATTTTTCGGTTTGTGACGGTATTTTTCTTTTGAGACTGATAATACACTGCAATATGTCACCAGCCAGTAGGTGGTGCTGTGCGTGTGGAGAGAGGCAGGAATAGGAAGCTACATCCCTGCCACTACACTTCCTTCTCTCTCCTGACTGAGTCCGCAGGGGAGCAGCAAATGTAGCCAGCAACTCCCAGACTGCAGTGACAGCCTACAGATCAGGTAAGTGAGGGATGGGGGAGGGGAGAGGGCAGCCTACAGATTAAGTAAGTGAGGGATGGGGGGCAGCCTACAGTTTAGGTAAGTGAGGGATGGGGGGCAGCCTACAGATCAGATAAGTGGGGGATGGATAGACAGCCTACAGATCAGGGAAGTGAGGCATGGGGGGCAGCCTACGGATCAGATAAGTGAGGGATGCGGGGCAGCATACAGATTAGGTAAGTGAGGCATGGGGGGCAGCCTACAGATCAGGTAAGTGGGGCAGACTACAGATCAGGTAAGTGAGGGATGAGGACAGCATACATATCAGGTAAGTGAGGTATGGGGAGGACAGCCTACAGATCAGGTAAGTGAGGGATGGGGGCTAGCATAGAAGAAGGGTCAGCAAGGAGCAGGAAGGGGCAGAGAGGGTTTACAAGGAGCAGAAAGGGGCAGAAATGAGCAGGAAGGGGCAGTAAGGAGTAGGAAAGGTCTGCAAGGAGCAGAAAGGGTCAGCAAGGGTCAGGAAGGGTCTACAAGGAGCAGAAATGAGCAGGAAGGGGCAGCAAGTAGTAGGAAGGGTCTGCAAGGAGCAGAAAGAGGAAGCAAGGAGCAGAAAGAGTTAGCAAGGAGCGGGAAGGGTCTGCGAGGAGAAGGAAGGGTCTGCAAGGAGCAGAAAGAGGCAGCAAGGGGCAGGAAGGGACAAAAGGAGCACAAAGGTAAAGGAGCAGAAAGAATCAGAAGGAGCACAAAGGTAAAGTAAGAGAAGGAGCAGAAAGGGCCAGCAAGGAGCTGTAAAGGGCAGCAAGGAGAAGGAAGGGGCAGCAAGGAGCACAAAGGTAAAGTAGGAGAAAGAGCAGAAATGAGCAGCAAGGGGCAGCAAGGAGCAGGAAGGGTCAGCAAGGAGCAGGAAGGGGCAGGAAAGAGCAGGATGGGTCAGCAAGGAGCAGGAAGGGTCTGGAAAAGCAGGAAGGGGCAGCAAGAAGCAGGAAGGGGCAGCAAGGAGAAGGAAGGGTCTGCAAGGAGAAGGAAGGGACAGAAGGAGCACAAAGGTAAAGGAGCAGAACGAATAAGAAGGAGCACAAAGGTAAAGTAGGAGAGGGATCAGAAGGAGCACAAAGGTAAAATACAAGAAAGAGCAGAAAGGGCAGCATGGAGTAGAAAGGGGCAGGTAGAGCTGGAAGGGGCAGAAGGAGTGCAAAGGTAAAGTAGAAGGAGCAGAAAGGAATAGAAATGAGCAGGACGGTGCAGCAAGGAGCAGGAAGGGGCAGCAAGGAGCAGGAAGTGTCTGCAATGAGCAGAAAGGGACAGAAGGAGCAGGAAGGTAAAGGAGCAGAAAGAATCAGAAGGAGCACAAAGGTAAAGTAGGAGAAGGAGCAAAAAGGGCCAGCAAGGAGTAGAAAGGGTCAGTGTGACAGATCCCTCTGTCTTGGACTTACAGGGACTTATTATTAATTCGTTTGCTTGATTCGTGTTTTCCCAGTTCGTATGGACTCTATATACTTCCCCTGAAACTATCGAACAAAACTCCCGAACGGCCGGCCACCCAGTAAAGAAGTGTGCTGCTGGTTAACCTCTTGGCCCCATTAGAACGTTGAGGTTAACCGCAGACACCTCTTAATTGGTGCCTGTAGCCTGGTGGCCGCCTTTCGTATCCCGAACACGAGGTCACGGCCATTTTAAACCCACAAACGCTCAGCAGTGTTCGACAACAAACTCATGGAACTCAAAACGGACAGTATTTGGCACGAACACCGCTGAAGCCACTGACCTCCCTTCTTCTTTGGTAGAAAACCCACGAACATCCCTATGTTCGGTACTTTTGTTCACGAATAAGCCATACCCCAGATAGCCATCCCATGGAGCCCATTCGTATGGAGAACAGACTTTGTGAACACTTTGACTCCACAGCGATTGGACTGTGTGCATAGGATCTGAGCGCTGTTCGGTACTTTTGTGCGCTCAGATCCCAGCTATCTGGGGACCCGTTGAATGCCTGTGTTATATTCACAATTATCTCCCGGGAAGAGCAGAGGGTCTTGGGTAATTAAAGGGGAATGGCTACATGTGTAACATTCTGACACGGGGAGTGTCCACCAGGTGGGAGACCTGCATAAATACCGGGCAGGTAGCCCTCAATAAACCAGATTCCTGCTGACCCTCAATACGGAGCTTTGTCTCGTCATTTTTGGGATTACTCGGCAGTAATCTGCTGTTCGGCAGTTTGGAGCACTCAGTGGCTACCTCTGCATTCAGGAAGGGAACGTCCTATACGGCAGTAACCCCTCTCCTACCGAGGGAGCCGTAACAATTGGGGGCAAGCGGCGGGATGTTCCTACAGCTCAGGAGGTCAGCTACAGAGCCACAGACGGATGGAATTACAGTATGAGCAACTGAAACACTCGACCCTTAAGGATTTACTGGAGAGCTGTGGCCGCTCAGCAAGTAACAGGAAGAAAAGGGACATTATTGCAGAACTGCTGGAAATGGATAACAGCGAGAGACTCAGCACTACAGACAGAACACCCTCCTACATCTCTGTGCATCTCCTTCCTGATGGCCACCCAAACTTTGCTACCCCCTGCCGACGCGCCCTAAGGTGACCTCCTGTACTGCCTTATGATAACGCCGGCCCTCCATCGGTATTGCTTTTTACCCTAATTTTAAATACAAACTCAAATTCTAGCGCCTTTATCTAACGTTAAAGACTATGTTGCAGAATTGATTGACCTCTTCAGGATTAAAAATTCTAAAATATACTTTGTCTTCATGGCAAATATGACCTACCAAAATGATTTCTATTATTTTGTAGACCATAAACAGACACTTGTGGTTTTGATTGAGATGTTTATTACCTTGACTATCGTAAAAGATACCTAGGGGCTACGTAAGGCGTTTTGACGGGCACTCTGGTGAGCAATTTCCTTCTCTACATGAGGCATTTTGACAGGTCCTCTGACGAGCAAGCTCCTTTTCTAGTTGAAGGAGCTGATTCAAGAAGCCACAGTTAGGACTAATAGTACGATGAAGGATAATTGTACTGACGGCATCTTTGAGCTTCATGTTCTGGTGCAACATCAAGTAAGCAAGTACAAAAACTACTGCTCGGCTGACACCTTTTGGACAGAAAACCAGAATTTTGCCTGCAAAGAACAAGAATTGTCAGTAATATTAACATTACATTAAAAAAAAAATGTTTTTGATTTACGTGGGTTTATTTTTTTTGCGATGATTTTATTGCATCCCAACCCCATATGTTCATGAGAGACAAGATCCCCTCATTTTAAGGCCAACTGTCACCTCAAAACTGTTTTGTAATATGATGATCCTTTTTAGCAAGTTTAAACTGAAAACTAGATAGATTTTTTAATAAAGTATGTGTAATTAAAATTAGGAAAAAACCCATCCATATCTGTAGAATATGTCAGGATCCTGCAGCCATATACATGCAGGTTTGGTCAGACAGTGTTTGAAAGTCGACCTTTACAGGGTTATTGAATTCATGAATTCAAAGTGAATTTCAAAAGTTAGGCAAATATGTTAAAATTGGAAAAATTCTCCAATTCAACTCTGTGTTCAGTTTGACTATTTTGGCATGAAATTTGAAATTCACGTTGAATTCCTTATAATTCTCACTTTTGTGAATAACACTGAGTTAGTCTCTATGGTCTTCTCTGCTTCACTCCCTGCATAGAATCAGGGAAGACCATAGAGACTAACTGTTACATAGTTACATAGTTACATAGCTGAAAAGAGACTTGCGTCCATCAAGTTCAGCCTACCTCACATTTGTTTTTTGCTGTTGATCCAAAAGAAGGCAAAAAAAACCAGTTTGAAGCACAATTTTGCAACAAGCTAGGAAAAAAATTCCTTCTTGACCCCAGAATGGCAGTCAGATTTGTCCTTGGATCAAGCAGTTATTACCCTACATTGAAAGATTATATCCTTGAATATTCTGTTCTTGCAAGTATGCATTTAGTAGCCGTTTGAACATCTGTATGGACTCTGATAAAACCACTTCTTCAGGCAGAGAATTTCACATCCTGATTGTTCTTACAGTAAAAAAACCTTTCCTTTGCCTTAGACGAAATCTTCTTTCTTCCTGTCTAAATGCATGGCCTCGTGTCCTATGTAAAGTCCGGTTTGTGAATAGATTTCCACACAATGGTTTGTATTGGCCCCGAATATATTTGTATAATGTTATCATATCCCCTCTCAGGCGACGTTTTTCTAAACCAAATAGGTTTAAATTTGTTAACCTTTCTTCATAGCCGATATGTTCCATTCCTTTTATTAATTTTGTAGCCCGCCTCTGCACTTTTTCTAGTGCCATAATATCCTTCTTTAGAACAGGTGCCCCAAATTGCACAGCATATTCAATATGGGGTCTTACCAGTGATTTATAAAGAGGCAAAATTATATTCTTGTCCCGAGAATGAATGCCCTTTTTCATGCATGACAATACCTTACTGGCCTTGGCCACTGCTGATTGACATTGCACATTGTTGCATAGTTTGTTGTCTATAACAATTCCCAAAGTCCTTTTCCATTGCTTGTGTATTCTTTACGCCGAAGTGCATAACTTTGCATTTTTCAACATTAAATTTCATCTGCCATTTGAGTGCCCAGTCCCCCAGTCTATCTAAATCCTTCAACTGTTGGCTTTCACTGTCTGACCCAAGGTGCATGTATAAAGTTGAAGGATCCTGTCATACACTAAAGGTAGGAACAGGTTTTTCTCATTTGTTTACAAATACTTCATCTATTTCCTTTTCATACATTTTTTGTTGTTTGTCTGCTGACTACATGCGAGAAAATTAATAATAATTTTAGCGGTAAATGGGTTTGCTGCAAGGTTTCTCTAAGAAATATATACCTGGAGTCTTTATACCTACTGTGCACCAGACCCATAAGTTATTTAATTGTTCTTTCTTTTTGTTTTGTTTTTGTGAGAATCCATATCACAGACAGTAAGTAAAATAAAGCCCTATGTGTGAATAATGCCAAATCTCTGCTAAATCTGTGGTGGACTGGGAAGTCTTGCTGTTTATATTTTTTCTACCAGACATGATTACCTACCACCAGAGGACAATCCTTCATTTATGAACAGGGCACCATCTTCTAGGTAGGGCCTGATGTTAAAGCGTGGTTCATTAAGAATCATAAAGCCTTTGTATCTGATGGATAGATCATCGTATGTTGTGCTGTCCACTTGGTTATTCACATCACCTTCAGCGGCATTCAAAATATGAGTAATGTTTAGGTCTTGTAGGAGGGCTGTGTCTTTGGCTGCTTCTCTGTACATTGAGAAATTTTAATTTTTAATTAAATTATAACTAAAGACGTAATACAACACAGCTGACATTGAAACACTTATCTCATATTCATGTTCTGGAGATATTAGTAAATTAGCATAATTAAGGGAATAGCAGGGTTTCATCCAGTTGCAACCCATTCCCTGTTCCAGGAACATAACAACCCATTCAACTAAATAATCTAAATGTATCTGTAAAATACTCAAAATTGCCCTAAATATCTTAATAAACATGTTCTTCCAGCACTCTTTTTGTAAAAGATGTAAAGTAAGCAAATACCTACTGAAATTAGTTTATTACAACTCAGATGCCCCTCTGGTTATATGTCTGTATGAGAAAAGGAAAATATTGCCTAACCAAGGTAAGCCAGAATATTCATATTGAATAGCCTATATACTAAACCTTAATATTAAGGAAAAGGGAATTTGCATTGAATCGTAGTAACCCACGTCCTGAACCTTAGTTAAAAGAATTTTATACTGAAGACTGCTACAATCTAGAAATGTTAACTTGCTGCTGTAAGTACAACAAACTTATTATATTGCTTGTCACATTTTATCATCCTCTTGTAGGTCAGTGTGCAGTGTGTTGTGTACTTTTACTTACTTGTCTCCCACGTAGATATTTGACCACACTTCATCAATGTGGTTAATGGGTGTCGGGAATGTGAAATTTTGCTCTTCGGGTTCTTGGACATCACATGTTTCACTGTCTTCAGTGTCTTCGGGCTTTGTCTCCTCACTATCTGGGACATGTTTTGGGGGAGATGCAGTGAGATTAGGTGAAGACATCCTGATGTTTTGTAGCTAAAATATAAAAAAAAAATATATTTGTAGTATTCAAAAGTAGCCACTAGAGGGCTTCATTAGAAATATTTATTTACCATCATTGTAACTTTGCCCCTAAGTTCTAAAATTCCCTTATCCAGTGCTAAAAGACAATAAAAATAATCAGATAGGGAAAATGTAAAGAGAATAATGTCTATAATAGGCAAGCTAGATACATGAGAAACAACCATTGAGCTTTTCTCTGACCAACTACCTCATATTAACATATGAAATTTTGCTACTGACCGGATGTGTCTCGGGAGCACTACGTGATAACTGGGGATAAAATTGCTGAAATTCTCTTCTACGTACCGCACCTGCCCTCATAGTGTGCATTCTACCTTGCCAACAATATGGGGCGTAAAAGTAAGAAACACCGGATGATTAAACTCCCATCCACCACCAATATCGGCGACCTACTGTGTAGGCCTCAAAATCCCTTGAGGCCTGTCATGGAGCCAGTCTATGATGGGCCTTCCCGGACGTTCAGCGAAGAATCCCTAACTGACTTGAGGGGCTTGAAGTTACTGGCTTAGAAACAGAGAGCAGACCAGCTTCCAGTCCCTCCAGTCACTAAGGGAATGTTGAAGGCCCTCCAGGATAAACTTCGCTGTAATATTGTGGCTGACATCAATTTGTTTAAGGAGGAAATCTATGGGATGTCCATGCGCCTACATGATACTGAAATCAACACTGCTGCACATAAGGTCTGCAATACTGGCCTGTAATGGGAACTGGCAACACTTAAGCACGATCTGACCCAAACCCAGCGGCACGTGGTGGCTATGGAAGATCTCCAGCGTTGGAAAAACTTAAAGGTATGAGGTCTAGCTGAGGGTGTTACTTGGCTGAAATCTCACATCTCATCTGGAGACTGCTCTCCAGCCTATTCTCTCCTAAACAGGCTAAGACAATGACTTTTCAACCTCGACCTCAGGCTTCCTCATTGCGATTCAGTAGGGATCTTATCATCCGTTTCCAACACAGCCCGGACAGACCAGACTTAATGTCTGTGGTCCACAACACCTCTCCGTACCATTTTGAGGAACACTCAATCTTCTTCCCTGACATCTCTAGGGCCACCATGGACAGGCGTAGGTCCTTGCGACCCTTGGATACAGAAATTGTAAAGTACAAGATGCCGCACAAATGGGGAGCACCAAGGTGCTTCTTATACCACGTATGTCTGGGAATATAGAAGTTACAGAGGCTTTCGAAGTGGCCAGCAACAACTTGTGCTCTCACTGGCTGAACCGGGTTCGCAACCTCCAGCGCTCCCTAAACATATGACTACCTGGGATCAGGCCGCAGTTCACTTGTTTGTTCCGGGGATTTCTTGAATGCCCGCATCCACGAGGGTTTCTTGAATGCTCTATATACCCTTGCACCAATTCTTGTTTTCTTTAGTCTACTTCTAATGTAGAACACTGTTTGTTTTTCAGTTTAACTTCACTTGACAAATAAGTGTCCCTAGAGACACGTCCTATTCATTTACCTCCCATTGGCATAGGGGAATTCACGCCCCTTATTCTCCCCCCCACACCCCTTGCTAATTCCAGCATAGTGGGAGCCTGCCTCTTGCTCTTTAGTTTTAGGCGTAAGCACCATCTCAATACACTGGCGTACATACCGCGGTCGCAGGGGTCGCAGCTGCGACCGGGTATGTACGCCAGTTTCCCAGCCTCTTCTCCTGGGGGGCCCAGGAGCCGGTCACCTCAGGACCCCCCAAGGCTGGCAGTGGCGTTAAATGACGGGCGTGCGAGGGAGCATCCTCCCCTGAGTGCTCTCTGTCCAGCTCCCTCGCTTGCACCGCAGTGATGCCGGAGCTGGAATATGACGTCATTCCGGCTCCGGCATCAGTAAGCGGTGCGCGAGGAAGCTGGGCAGAGAGCGCTGAGTGCTCCCTCGCCACCTGCAGTGACCGGCAGCCCAGCCAGCAGCCCCACTGGACCCCAGGGAATCCCCTCAGCACTCCCAAAGGTAGGGAGGCCAGGGGATTTAAAAAATAAAATAAAAAATTAGTGTGTGTGTGTGTTAATTTTTGTGTGTCAGTGTGTGTGTGTGTGTGTGTGTGTCTGTTACTGAGTGTGTTAGTTATGTTTGTGTGTGTCTGTTATTGAGTGTGTGTCTGCTAGTGTGTTAGTTTTTGTGTGTGTGTGTTACTGTGTGTTAGTTGTGTGTTAGTTTGTGTGTGTCTGTTATTGAGTGTGTGTCTGCTAGTGAGGGTCAGTGTGTGTGTGTTCGTGTGTGTGTCAGTGAGTGTGTTATTGTGTGTGTCTCTTACTGAGCGTGTTAGTTTTTCTGAGTCTGTTTGGTGTCTGTTCGTGAGAGTGTGTGTGACTAAAACCCCTTCAGCACTTACTTTTCTCCAGCGCCGGGCTCCCTTGGTGCTGGGGATCTCTCCACCCCGACCCACCTCTCAGCTCCGAATGCGCATGTAAGACGTCCGCTGTGACATAGGAAACCTGTAAGGCGGACTAGGCAGCCGCCTAGGGCGCCCCTTGGGAGGGGGCGCTGCCAGGAGCGCCGGCCCCCCCATGCTGCAGCCGCCCGAGCGCTCTGTAGAGAGCCTCAGGCGGCTGCAGCTTTGACCGGGCGGTGCGTCCATGAGGGCGGACCGCACCGCCCGGGCGCAGCCTGAGGAGAGGGGCTGACAGGAGGGAAGCGCTCAGCGCTGTATAGTCGGCTGGTACAGGGAGCAGCTGTCTCCTGTACCCGGCCGGACTAACAGGAAGTGCTCACTGAGTGTGCACTTCCTGTTAGTCCGGCCGGGTACACCCCGACCCACCTCTCAGCTCCAGAATGCGCATGCACGTTAAGAGCCGCACACACATTTAAACCGCCCATAGGAAAGCATTACTCAATGCTTTCCTGTGGACGTCCAGTGTCTTCTCACTGTGATTTTCACAGTGAGAATTGCGGAAGCGCCTCTAGCGGCTGTCAGTGAGACAGCTACCTAGAGGCTGGATTAACCCTGAGTGAAACATAGCAGATTCAATTTTTGCACCGGGGCCTCATGGATCGTGTGTACGCCACTGTCTTAATACATATGTTCCAAGAGGCACATGCAACTGACATGCAACGTAAGTATTTGCTGACTGTTTCCCCTTCAGGGGTAGTAGGCTTAGTTCTAGCTTCATATGTAGACCATTGTTTTCTGTCTATTTTATTATAAAACTCTTAATCCTGCTGAAAACAAAAAACATATTGAAGAATACAGAGCAGGAATTTTAAACAAAAAAAAGTAAAAAAAAAAAAAAAATACAAATCAAAGAAAGCACACCCAGCTCAAAGATTAACTATGCTTACTAGGCTGGAAGTATTCAAATTTTTGATGCATTAAAAAAAATGGCACCATTAGAAAAAAATGGAAACAAACAAAAAAGATGACCAGCTTTGACCCAAGATGGAGCTTAAAGGACCACTATAGGCACCCAGACCACTTCAGCTTAATGAAGTGGTCTGGGTGCCAGGTCCAGCTAGGTTTAACCCTTTTATAAATGGGTTAATCCAGCCTCTAGTGGCTGTCTCATTGACAGGCGCTTCTACGCTTCTCACTGAAGACGCCAGCGTCCATAGGAAAGCATTGAGAATGCTTTTCTATGGACTGGCTGAATGCGCGTGCGGCTCGTGCCGCGCATGCGCATTAGGAGGAGGAGAGTCCCCCACCCGGCGCTGGAGAAAGATGTAAGTTTAACCCCTTCCTCCCCCTAGAGCCCGGCGGGAGGGGGTCTCTGAGGGTGGGGGGACCCTCAGGGCACTATAGTGCCAGGAAAACGAGTATGTTTTCCTGGCACTATAGTAGTCCTTTAAGCCCGCTCCATTTCCTGTGGTCAAAGAAATTTTCACACAATACTCACCTTCCTCTGTGATCTTAAGATGCCTCCTTTCACTATTGCTGAAACTACCGAATGTTGTCAGAATTTTTTAATAGAATGAGTACAGTTTGTCCATCCAAGACGAAATCCTGTACTTTTCTTTCTGCAGCTGTACCTTGAAGCCGCTTAGTAGATAGTTCCCTAATTCCCATGATGTTAGGGAGCTAGCTACAAAAACATGATGGGGGCCCTGAGGGGCAAAGGGGGGGGGCTACTGTCTCCCCCACCCACAGCCCCCACCCTGCACCCCTGGGCTGCAGGTGGGGGCTCTTAAATGACAAAAGGGGGGGGGGGAACTACTGTCCCCCCAGCCCTTACCCATGAGTTCCCTCCTTGTAATAAACTGAACAAAAGAAAACCGTTCGTTCTCTGTAATTTCTATTGAATGAACAAATAACCGAAATTCCCGTCTGAATTTCAGACAATAGCGATAGCCCAAGTTAAACTAAAGTTTTTTTAATATTCTGCTTGAAACGCTTTATCATTTAGATATTTCTTGTTGAAACACTGCACATACAGAGTAATCTGCACTTTTGTGCTGGGCGCTAATTACCCACAGAATTGAATATCAGTTATATGCAAAAATGACGCCTCTTGTAGCACTTGTTGTGAGCCGCAGCTTTTCCCTTACCTCTGTTACTTTTTTTTTTCATATTCTTGTGCTCCCTCTCTGGTTCCCCACCCTCCCTGGTTCCCCACCCTCCCTTGCCAGGGAAAGTGATTGGGAAAGTGTATGTCCCTCCTCCCTCCATTACCTTTTATATTTCCACCCTCCCTCTATGGCTCCCCTCAGCGGCTCAGAGTGTGCACGTGCTAAACGAGCTAGCACTGGCTAAACGGTCAAGTCAAGGGCTTTTCTATATCCCCAGGTACCTTGCGTGGCTGCCCTGACGTCAAAAAGAGGTGTGCAAAATCACAAACATGCTCACCTGAGCTTGAAGCCTTTCAGGGTTTGTCCCCTTTACACCACTCACATATTTTGGAGGGCCAGTCAAGGGATACAACGGGAATGCTGTAGTCTGTTCCAGAAGTCACCACACATGCCCCTTGGGTGCCTGGTGGTGTTACAGTGGTGGCTCCTTGTCAATCCTGGGGCTAGTATGGTGTCTATTCTCTGCTCCACCACTGCGCTCTACCACCTGGACTTTGTGGATTTGTGTTACCTCTACCCAGTCTGTAAATCGGCCGACTACATTCCGAATGCAGTTTCCTGACCCTTCTTTAGGCCTTTATAGGCCTGTAATTTCTGTTCATAAACGTGCCTTCCCGGTGGTCTCAACAATTTATTATTCTTTCTAATATCGACAACATGTTATTTCATTTTTAAAAAAAATAAGGTGTCTTACACTCTTTTATACTAATGAATAGTGTATTGCTCTGTTTTGTTTTGCCCTGATTGCACATTTCTCCATTACTTGTACTGGCAATACTATTTTTATTTGATCTCTCATGGTATTATCTACCTTGTGTTTCACACATGTACCTCAATAAAAATAATAAAAAAATAGATGACCTTTAACAGGTATGAGAAAGCAATTTTGTGATAGCAACAAAATATGAAAACAGCCGAAATTGATGTATCCTAAGCATCCTTCATAACCTCTGGAGTTCATTGTAGTGGTTGTGAAGCTATAAATCTATGGGTACAGCATACCCCTACAATGCCACTATTTAGGAGGGACAGTCCCTATTAAAGGAACACTATAGTCACCTAAATTACTTTAGCTAAATAAAGCAGT